CGGCCCAAAAAAATGCAACCCTGAAAAGAAAAAGGATCGTCAGATTGTTATAATGTTAATATGACAAGTGTACAAATGAATTTGATATACATGTACCTTTTATTTTGCACCTGAACAGGTAGCTTATCCTTCTTAGTTCTATTTTTAACCCTTTCAGCATGATAAATATGACAAAGAAATTGCACAAATGAAGGATAATTGCACAGTAGGCTTACAGTAAAATGTTTCACTGTTTGAAGTACTTGTGTACAGGATGAAAAATGACTACTTGTACATAATTGGCATTTTCTCAGCAACCCAAAGTGCTATTTTCATGACTGTTTTAGTATTTGAAAGAAAAGCTCTCAGCTTTAATCTGATACCCAAAATATAAAAATCCACCCATCCCTTCTTTTTTTTTTTTAAGCAAATGCTTTAGGGTGACATTTTTTGGGGTCACCCTGTATGATCAATTTAAAACAAATCCTGGAAAAAAAATGCAAGACTTTTTGGTCAGGCATCCCACCCCCTTTTCTTTCCCCTCAAGGAAGCCATCATTCGAACGAATGTTTCATGGCCAACCTTCCTGAATAGACTGGCGTGACCATGTCTGCTGACGGACCGCATTTCAAGCAGAAAGCCGTCATGTTATGTTATCACTGAAGACAGCCCAGGGATACCAACTATTGTCTGCCTTGACAGTTTTGTTTGGGGATTAAGCAAGCTTGCTGTAAGGCCCCAACTTCACTGAGCCACGTTACCTGAACTTATTGCTAAGCAAATTACAGAATGTGCTAAGTAAATATCAGTGGAGAACCAGTCCATTAGCAGCATACATCGCATTGCAGTGTAGCCGGTAACCACTTTTTGCTAAGGGAATCTTTCCTGTGCTAAGCACAATTCTATATTCACTACTTAGCAGTGCCATGAAACTGGCACCTCGCATTCCGTTGATAATGATACATCATATCACTTCCATCTGCTACAAGAGATAGGCTGTACTTGTAACACGTAGCAGGCAGCAACACTGGTGTTCAGTTGAAATAGCGCCCTTGTGTGACCATCTGCTTGCCAAATTGAGACTTCTCACCAAACTTCCATCAGGACCAGCAAGTTTAAACTGTTACTTTGATAGCGTCACTTGTTTCATGTTTACTGTGCAGCATCATTGGGCATACCATGAGTTTACTAGTTGAGTGTAAATTAAACAGAATTTGAATTTGGTATGGTTAGGGCCGAACGAAACCAATAAAATCTTGAATAAAGGCATTGACTAAATGTGGAACAGCCAACGTAGGGCTCGATAGCTTTGTTGGTAGAGTGACGGAACAGTAATCTGGAGGTCGCAGGTTCAAACCCTGCTCCAGTCAATTTCTTTGTTCAACTTTACTTAAAAATCAATAAGATTCTGTATAGTTAACACTACAGTTCGGGGTTAATGGTTGAATCGGTGGACCTTCAAGACAATTAAACCCAAAGAATCCCAAACCTACTCAGATCTGTCAAAATCCACAAGGAGGTTAATTTGCAGGATTTTAAAGGATTGAGGAAGGTACTGGTACAGTCCAGTCATGCTTACTTTTTATGGGGTTTGATGCTGCATGAAAGTTAACCCATGTTACCCGCTAAGATTCTTCAGAATCTTCTAGGATGTCTTGTGGGATTTTTTTTGTAGGATTTAGGAAGGCGGTGCTTTACAATAATTTAAATACGACAGAACCTGAAAGCTAGAATTTGTAATTTGAGTTTCTGCTTAACGATGGATTTTGAAGGGTTCAGGAATGATTCGAGAAGGATTCAGGGAAGGATTTTGGGAAGGATTCGGGAAGGATTCAGGAAGGAATTGGGAAGGATTCGGGAAGGATTCAGGAAGGATTCTGGAAGGATTCAGGAAGGATTCAGGAAGGATTCGGGAAGGATTCAGGAAGGATTCAGGAAGGATTCGGGAAGGATTCAGGAAATATTCAGGAAGGATTGGGGAAGGATTTGGGAAGAATTTGGGAAGGATTCAGGAAGGATTCAGGAAGGACTCGGGAAGGCTTCAGGAATGTTTGGAAGAAAAAAATATGTCCGTTATCTTGGGATGAACAGCTCATGAATGTGATGTACTCAGATGTACACCACTGACTCTGCTCCTTGTACACCTCTGACTCTGGGGTGTTGTGATTGTACATTGGTTACACGTCTGGATTCATTTATAGCAATTCGACAATGAAACGATAAGTTAACTCCCAAGTGAACTTTTTCGTAACCCATGGACTTTGACTTTGTTTTTATTTACTCTGGAAATTCTTTGGTCCTCTTGAGTATTGTATTTAGGTCAGAGGACTATTTTTACCAGGAACCACAAGCAGGCAAATGAAGAAGAGGTTGACAAAAAAAAGTAGATGGAGAGATGAAATCACAACATACATGGGTACGGCAGCATGGACAAGATTGGCTCGACAAAGAAAGGAATGGTTGTATTCATGAGGAGGGCTTTGTCCAACAAATTGATGAACTTTAGGCTTATGATGATGATGAATGAATTTTTACTTTCTGCTTGGAAAGTTCTTAGTTTGACAGCTTAAAGAAGCAGTTTCATAGTTATAAATTAGGCTGAATTAGGAAATTGACTGGAGGTGGGATTTGAACTCGTGACCTACGGAACACTGTACAAGTGTGCTACCAACTGAGCTATCCAGCCCCTGTTTGCAGTCCTGTGGTTCTACTCGGTGTCCTACAGTTAGTTTGGTACTGTCTGTCCTCATTTTGTCATTTCCTCGATATTTTGAAATCGCATTTTCATCATCATACGCCAGGAACAATTTTCGTCGACATCATCCAGCATACATACATGTACTGCATAAATTATTCTGTGTTCCTGTTTTTTAAAGGATCGGCGCAGTATTCACGGAGCCACTGGTGGAGACGCAAAGCTCTCCTGTCTCAACTGTGGTCTGCGTGCCCCGGGGGAACCAAAAAAATCATACACTTTCCAACTCTTTTTCAACACGGAGGTTAACGACTTCTGTAAACTCCAGCCTTGCCGACATTCATGAGTAATGTGCAAACACTCATGTCTACCAGACAGCTGATCGTTCATGTCGGCTGCACTGGATGTTAATACCACCCCCCTTATTTTTTCTCTCTGTCTGTGCCGCCAGTCCTGCCCACCATTGGACGCAGGGGGTCTAGTGGTTGAATGAGCAAGCAATGTGCTGTTGACTGCCATTGAACCCTGCGGTTAACCGCACACAGACGACGGGTTAGCCGAAGGGCAGTCTGGCGTTATCAACAGCCTGCCATTGTGCCGCTTATGTAGCTCACTGCACATGACAGACGTGCGGTCTGCAGTTGGGGAGTCCCCCGGGTTTATTCAGTGTGTCAGGACCAATAGGGCGCTCGTTGCCCTAAATTCCTGTTTGTTGAACATTTTCGGAGAAATTGACAAAAGGGTTGCGGGACGGGTCAGGAGTGCATTAGGGTCATTCCAACCATAAGCTTGGATTTCTGAAAATTTGGAGTTAGTATGTGGTACTTGGGATAGTGGAGTGGAAAGTAAGGATGACATTTTTATGATTCACACCCGTTTGCCAAACGGAAATGTCGGTTTTAGTTAGGCAATGGTAGCAGTTGCCAAAATATGTTGTGTTAAGGAAGTCCTACTGGAACCATTACCCCTGTGTGTCATTGGCATTCTGTCATTAGGGAGAAGGCAGGTTGTAAGTGGTTTTTTTTTTTAAGAATGGTGTTTTTGACATTTTTTATTTTCCAACAGGATCCATTTTAATAAACAGATGTACATGTAGCCTACATATGTTGTTTCTCTGTGCATAAACAGACAGTATAAAATTTAAAAAAAAGGCAGTATTGAACTTACATATGATACATGTATAATTAGTATTCTTCACAATTTGTTGTGCAAATATTTGCCGATACATGTGTGGATTAACCACATGTTTTGAATACATGTTTTGTGCGCCGACCACTGCACCGCATTACTTTGATAAAAGCATGTCAGGTACCGGTACTCTCATTAAGGAAAACAAGAAGATAGCAAGTTGCCATAAAAAGACCTGACAATTTGGACCTGTGCCAGTTTGTGACGACGATTCTGGCTCGAGGTGATAGTGGGGTAACGATGTTGCTCTGCGATAGTGTCTTGTAGTCCAACACAGTTATTTTGCTACCTTATCAAGTTTTTCTTGAAAACAGTTTTTTTTACATACTAATAGCCTGACGTTGTTTGTCAAAACGTCTTGCTTAAGTCAATGGCATATGAATTTACATGTACCGGTGTAGCGTGATTATCCGACTCCATGAAATGTGGACTCATTGGTAGTATTGCACATGCGTGAGTACAATAATATGCTATTTTTAGGATCATTATGGGAGAGTGACCTGTCACGTGCGAGGGATTAACCAATAGTTGGAAAAAGGGGTCAGATTTTCATAGGAGTCGGATTTTCATATGACACCGGTACAGTGTTTGTTAGCTTCCGGATACCACCACGGATACTATCGACGAACGCCTTGACCAAGGCTAGCATCATGAGGCATTAGACACCCTCTTAGATCAGTCACCATCCTAAACCCTTCAAAATCCTCCAGGAGATTTTTGGAGGATTTTGCAAGATTGAGGAATGTACATGTACAACCCAGCCACTATACTTTTACATGGGACTTGAGGACCCCAGCCAGTACATGTACCTTGTGTAAATGTGTGCCCTTTGAGGTCAGATACTGTCAATGGCGGATTTACAGGGGAAAAGGGGGGTGGGGGATAAAGGAAATCAGGGAACACCCTACCCCTCACCCCCCACTTGAGCCAAAGTTGGATCAGCCCCTGCCAGTGATGGATTTAAGAGGATTCGGGAAGATTCATTGCGAAAAAGCTGAGGAAGTTTTGGTTTATAACTCCAAACATTTTCACTTGCTTCACTTTGGACTGTGTACCTGTACAATGAACCTCAAATTGCGGTACTCCATGCTTACCGGACTATTTTCCCTATTTTCTGTTCCCTTTCTGTCTATTTTAGGGCAATGCAACGCTTCACCTGTACCCCCACTTCAAGGAACTGGCGCAGTTGGAAGGTGAGTCTGTCAGGCATGCAACCTTTCCTCGGATCAGCTGATTTCCTCTTTTTTCATTTCCCATGTGTGCCATTGAAAATAGAAAAACACTGTACAAAGTCTGGGAAAGATTAGAATTTCCTCTTTTTTTGTGACTTCCCAGTTGCATGCCTGGTCTGTAGTTATGAAAAGAACTTGTTCGCTTGATGTTCTGAATAGAATGCCGAGTGCTCTGTCCAATAGGTCAAGCTAAATTAAAGGGCCAAGCTAAGCTACAAATGTACATGTAAAAATTTTAGATTTTTAATTTTTTTTATGACAACTTGAGGCAAAATGATAGCTGAAAGTTGCATCTCCGTGCTCTTCAAGAAATTCATTTCCCCTCCCCTCTGTTTATAACAAATTATCGAGTTGTATGTTTTATTCCAACCAAAAACTTCCTTCCCCCCCCTTTTTTTTTGGGGGGGGGGGCATCTGAAACCCCCTGCAACATGGTTTTAATTTTCGTCACAAACAGATCCGCCTTGCGAGCAGACTGGCTCCTGGTCCGTACATTATCGATACTGGTTGTGGGGCGGGAACCAGCCTACCCCACAAGTATGACGAACGGAATTATTGTCAGGCCGCTAGCAATTCGAAAGTTGTAAAGTAATAATTCAGTAACTGAAGATGGGCCAATTTTCGTTGGTCAATGTCGCATACAAAAGTGAATGCATGTTACTTTTGTATTGCCAGAAAAATAGCAGTTTAGAAAAAGAATAAATTTTTCAGGATGAAAAGCGAAAATAGTATGATGAATGTACATGTATGTATCTGTAACTAGCAAACAATCACTAAGTACATGTAAGGAATAAAATACTGGTTGCCAAAAATTCATGTTCTGCTATTTAAACAGTCACAGACAGTCAAAATTCACTTCCACTTCCCAGCTGTACTTTTAACAAAGGCTAGTCACCAGCAGGCAGTTCATTATGTCAAGCAAGCACTGTGACTAGTCAAACTGGGTCAACAGACAAAGCATGCAAGTTGTGGTCACAGCTGCTTTATCACTCACCCGGAGTCAAAGCATAGCTGTATCAAGTTACATTGTACTTAAACAGTTCCAACCAGTCAATCCTGCTTTATGTGGGCTGGGAATTCTTAAGGATTGGAAACAGTCACTTGATTGATTTTGACTGAAAGGACTGCTTGGCACAGAATGTATGTTTGCATAGGAGGGTTACTAACTTCAGCCGTTCTCAGCAAAAAGGTTGATTTTCGATGATTCCTCCTTTTCTAAAACTTTATCTTCCAGGCAATGCAGATCGTCTTGTTGGGGGGGGGGATTGGTTTGCAAAAAACAGAGTTGCTTTTATCGTTAATGATAAATAACATTCTTTGAATCTCATTAGGAAATGGCATGATACTGTCTTCTTTATGTGCCATGAAGCAAAGTTCTATTAAGTTGGTCGGTCAAAATTAAGGTTTTTTTCACTAAAAGTTACCTAGTTTTGGATCTGTGCGCTGTGTGATGCTGGTGAATGTCACTGGTTCCTATATCACCTTTTAATCCACTCAGCACACAGTGGTGCGTACCAACGATCTGAAGTCGGTGCAGTACACATCACAGGACACAGGGGCTGCACTACAAAAAATGACCGTCAACGAACGCAATTTCATTTAATTTTTTTTTAAAAATGGTTGTTTGTGCCATGCTGGTAGCCCACTTACATGTAATTGATATATAAATGATGGACAAGAGAAATCTGATAAACCGGTATGACCCCTTCAACGCCTACGCTTAATGATACTGTCATCTGTAAGTGTCATCCAGTTACCGGTACAAGATAAAAAAGAAAAAAAGAAAAGATTACGTACACCGCTGCAGGAAAGTTTGCCTATAAAACAGAGTACTCTTTGCAAGCGAGGGTACAATTAGTGGTGGAGTTTGTCTGTGCCAGATCCCACAGACGGCTTAGTCGAGTCCATCACAAGTCCATCACAAGTCCATCACAACTCCTGCAGTCCCAAGTCCAGTCACAAGCCAGGCATGCAACTTTTCCTCGGATCAGCTGATTTCCTCTTTTTCGACCTCCCATGTGTGTCATTGAAAATAGAAAAACGCTGTACAAACTCCAGGAAAGAATTGAGTTTCCTCTTTTTTTTGTGACTTCCCAGTTGCATGCCTGACAAGCTATTCAAATGAATTATGACAAAAAGCATTCCTTTGTTATTGTTCACTTGTGTTAGTTGTGACTGAACTTGTAAAAAAAAGAAAAGACATTGACATCACCGGACTTGTGATGTGATGGGATTGACCGCAACTCCGCTGCAGAATGACTTTAAGAAATGCAAGAATGTCTTGTAAGGAAGGCACAGTTGATGACGACCGGCTTGCTTCGATGGAGGTCGAGCTAGGAGAGTTCCAATTTGGCGGGACATCACCGGTGCCCACGTTTGTTTTTGTCTGCTGTGCGGTCACATTTCACTGGTGGGCTGATGCGTCCGATCTTTTCAAACACCATCAGCTGCCCGGTGAAGTGTAGTCGCGCGGACAGGTGGTCTGTGAAGTATCTGTGTGGCACGCTGCCAAGATTGGGAACGGCCCGTCCGACTAGACACGGACCATCACGGTTGCATTGGTTGGGAACGGTTTGTCAAAACTTCATGCATGGACAATGGGTGGACCTCACAGTGTATGTTCATCCTGAACCCAGTTACATCGCTTCAATCATTTTTAAAAAGTTTGAAACCAAGAACAAAGTTAGAATCAAGCGTGAGAATTAGGTAGGTAACATGCACTAAATTATACCTAACATCAAGTACATTGTACATGAAGAGTTTGACTTATAAAGTTTGGAGTGACTACAATGTACGTAAAAGATCTGTTGTTTCTGTCGTTAAGAACATCACTAAAATTTAGTTAATTGAAACCCAATGCAAATCTACCGTCCTGAAATCAAAATCTATTGTTTTAAAATCTTCTTACATTGTACATGAAGAGTATGACTTATAAAGTTTGGAGTGACTACAATGTATGTAAAAGATCTGTTGTTTCAGTCGTTGAGAACAACTCTAAAATCTAGTTAATTAAAAACTAATGCAAGTCTACCGACCTGAAATCAAAATCTATTGTATTAAAATCTACCTATAGATCGACCAGGGTTACTCATAATACTGTTATGTTCAGCTCAACTTTATAATGTAGACACAGGTCAAACTTCAGAATCAAGATGCACAGGATTGTCATAACATTAAGAACAAATCTTGTCATTTCCCTAAATGACTTACATGCAATTATCCTATTCCTAAATGTGATACACTCAAACATTTTTGTGAAAATACCGGCGTTAGCATGGTAAAAAAACAAAACATTTATTAACAGTCCAGGTGTTAGCCGAAGGTGTCATTGGCATCCCCCACGTGTATTAAATAATCATTGCCCGCATCACAGAGGACAACAACTTTGCATTGACTCGGAGACAGTTCGTCCAGTTCACCTTGTTAGCCCGCGTGTGCTTCATTACTACATTTGGCTGCATTCTGTCTGAACCCAAGGAAATGCAGCATGATGTAGTGGTGAAGTACGCCGGGCATTTTGCTTCGATTGGCTCATGTCGTCTCATCACCACATCAGAAAAGTCGACGCAACTCAACATTTACTAAAAACACAGTTTCTAAAACTTAGCATGACAGAATCATCGGGTATTGACAAAAGCTTTTACAGCTATTTCCGGGGGGGGGGGGGGGGGGGGGGATGAGGGGAGGGGGTAGGAAGGGGCGGGGGGGGGGGGGTGTTAATACAGATTTTTTAATGTTTTATTGCCAACTCCCTTCATATTTTTTTTTGGCTGGGAAAGTTCCTGAATTTTCTTAACCACAACATGATCTTTGCTCTCATAACAACATTCAGTGGGGCAGATAGGGGAAATATTTGGGGGAATTGTGCCTTTGATAAACAAGCATGGCATTTGGCACACAGAGTATGTGTTAAAGATAATAAGGCCGTCGCAGATTTGTCCTTTGGAAAAATATAGGGAGAATAACTAGCAATCTTCATAATTTTCAAAATGGCGGCCGTTGCTTGTTATTCTACCTATTTTTTTCAAAGGATAAATCTGCGATGGCCCTATAGCCAGATATGTTTCTCATGACATACTCTGACTGTGTGCCAAATGCCACGCTTGTATCATCAATGGCACAATCTCATCACCTCTCTGCCGTACTAATTGGAATGAAAGTAATGGTATTGCCTATAGTCGTGGTTCAAAAGTTTGGTGCAGTCTTCTTAATGCTGCTGGTCCATGGCAAGCCCAGCCAAGCCATTACCGAGGTACAGAGGGTGCTTTTAACTAGAGCACCCGCTAATCTAGTTTTGGGAATGTTGGCACATGGACCCGCATATCCATGGATATATCGTGTGTGTGAGGTATGCTTAGAATTTCTGGGGTCCAAGTTGTCGAGATTTGGTTCATCTTGCCGATATGGTGGCTTGGTTGCACTTGCCATGGACCGACTGTGTTATGGGAGCATAATGAAATCTTGTACCAAAACTACAGGTCCCACAGTCCTACAGTCCTTAACACTAACTCCCAATGTGTCTTTGCTATGAACCGTCCTAAATCCTTCAAAATCTTGCTCTGTGCAGTATTACAATGTCACACTCTTATTACTACGTGAAGTAATATTGGTTGGACTCTACCTTCCTCAATCCCTTCAAAATCTTTCAAACCAGCATGAAGCATTTTCTGAGGATCTGGGTGGGCTACCGTTGATCCATCAAAATCAATGAAAACCAAGACACTAAGATCACATACATGTACATGTAGACTCCTTTTCCTTCAAGTTCAATGCAACATTTTACAACCCCAACCCAAAATGGAATCAAGAAACACGTACATTGAAAGAAATCAAGGAAAACATGTACCGGTATACATGTAGGAAAAAGAAGAAAAAAATGAAATGAATAAAGAAAATGCAATTAATTAATAGCTGTAATAATCCTATGGGCTTGTTGATGGCAGGTATTGGAAAGACACTCAAAGCGCTCAATAAAGGTCAATACATGTAAACATTGGAAAGAAAAACGATCGGAAAACATTATACTGTGTGTGTCAATAAAAACGCAGGATTAGAAACAAAAATATTAAGAATATAAACCACCCCTATTCATCATAATGTTAACCCTCATTTCAAAGTACCTCTCCTTCTCTTCACTATGCTTTTATCCCATCTCATTTGGACAATCCTGTCCAGAGATAGAGTACATTGAAGAAAGGTTATAAATTCCAAGCTGGTCTGATTTGTGAAATCACACATACCTAATGAAAGGTTTGAATTCAGTACAGGTGAAAGTATTTGTGGATCACAAAGAAGGACATGTGTGGCAGGATTAGGCTTACATAATCCTTTAGTCAACAATCAATGTTATTAGTCAATAATTCATGATGCCTTGAAACAATGATAGTCCAGTTATTAAATTTAAGTGATACTTATCATCAGTTGTTTCAAAGAATGTTTTGTTCTGGGTTAATTGTCTTCAATGCATACCTACATTGTACATAACTGGTCGTTGTGTTAAGGTCATTGAATCAGACCAACCCACTTCAGAAGGGCTTCACAAAACTTGTCATAACTTTTGAACCAAAAGTCCAAATTCCACCAAACAAAATCATCTTGTCAAAGATGAAATTATGGACAATCAAATCCTTATCAAATTAGGCACACCAGTAGCATAATTTTCTCAGAAAAAAATCGCTTTGAATCCTGCGTTTTTATTGACACACGCTGTATATATAAACAATATATATAAAACGAGAATTAAATAAACAGGGAAAAAGTTGGGGGGAAAAGGCCATTAATTACATAATTCAAACAAGTACACGTTGAGTCACTCTAGAGCAATCCTGTATTCAAGTCTGGCCTTCTTTGTTTTTCTGACTCGCTGCTTGCAGGCGTGGTGGAATACCTGACGACGGAGATCAGCACGTCCAAGCAGAAGCGTTTCAGTCTGGTCACCTTCGTGGACACGCCGGGCCTTGTGGACGGCGACATGAAGTACCCATTTGACGTGGACAAGGCTATCATCTGGCTGGGTAAGTAATGTCGAGTAATCTAGTGGGGAAGGCCACTGATCAAATGCCTGACCTCCAGTCATATGGCGCGACAACTAGGAGAATGTTCCAGTAAGGACTAGTGGTCAACTTGGAGTTGATTCATGATATGCTTTATATCCCAATGTCTTTAGTGGCTCTGCTAACCACAAAATTCCATGCTTACTATCACCATTTTGTGCTAATAGCACAAGCAGAAAAATTCTGTGCATACCCTGTATGCACAGAATTCTTAATAAAGGATGTACGCATACGCAGAAGCCAAAAATCCTCGCTAATCCTTGAAATAAGCTTACCGTAAGTACAGAATTTTCTGCGACTGTAAGCAGGGACTTTTCGCTAACGGTAAGCAGAGCTATGAAATTGGGGCCTGGCCATCACCATGGTCCTGGATCCATGATCGGTCGCAAGTCAATCCCAAGGCAATCCTAAGGCAATCACAAGGCAATCACAAGTCGAACACAAGTCGATCGCAAGTCAATCGCAAGTCAATCTCAAGGCAATCACAAGTCAATCACAAGGTAATCACAAGTCGATCACAAGTCAATCACAAGTCACAAGTCAACCACAATCAAAGGCAAACGCAAGGCAATCTCAAGGCAATCACAAGGCAATCTCAAGGCAATCACAAGGCAATCACAAGGCAATCACAGTTCATCACAAGTTGACCACAAGTCAATCGCAAGTCAATCACAAGGCAGTCACAAGGCAGTCACAAGGCAATCACAAGGCAATCACAAGGCAATCACAGTTCATCACAAGTTGACCACAAGTCTTCAAATACCTCGTCAAAAATCATCCGGCCTCAAGACAAGTGACCAGCTACATGTATCTTAATTGACTGCAAGAAAGACATGTAATTTGTTATTGCTCGTCCTCTGGAATTTTATGACAAAACTTGTGATTAAACTTGTGATTAGACTTTCGATTAACTTGTAACTGATCTGTGATCGACTGGTTACTGACGTTTGACTGACTTGTGACCAATTTATATTTACTTGTGATTCACTTGTGATAAACTTGTGATCAACTTGTGGTTGACTAAAATGCTTTAAAAACGAAAGAACCCGAGTGTATACAGCAGAAGGAACTTGTCAATGAAAAGATTTTGAATCTGATGTTCAGTTAGTCATGATTCATATCCCCCGTTTAATCCTCCAGGCAACTTAGCGGACCTCATCTTCGTCTTCTTCGACCCCATCGGCCAGGCCCTGTGCAAGCGCACCCTCAACCTGGTGGAGAGGCTGAACGAGACCCACGCCGACCGCATGAAGTTCTACCTCAGCAAAGCCGACGAGGCTGGCCACGAGAGCGACCGGCAGCGGGTGCTGATGCAGATTGTCCAGGAGCTGTGCAAGCGCCCCGGCCTGAACCGGACCGGCTTTGACATGCCGACCATCTACGTTCCTCAGAGCTCCAGCAAAGTAGGGGTTCTTTTGTTATTACCTAAAATTGTTAATCACGTTGACGTTTTAACCAGTTCGCACCGGACGCCATGATAACACGCACTGGCCGGCGATTAAGATGTCAAGATTGCCTCGACTCGCCTCCGGGTGACGTCTAAACATGCTAATCCCTCGTGCTTTTGTACACACACACACAAAGTCCATGTGGACTGTAGAGGCGGACCGTTGTGCCTGGCCTACTGTTGTACAATTCACGCTCCAGTGCGCACCCCGGAGTATTGAAACATATGAGGTTTCGGCAAGAACTATCGTACAAATACCGTTGAAATCACTCTTGCAAATCAGTGTTTGGCTGTATATCAGAAGTTGGCTGGGAAATTTTGCCTTTTCAAAATTTTAAAATTTTCGCAAAAATATACAAAAATATCCGTCTCGAAAGACGTTAAGGGCTATCATTTTGGTAATTCTGTGTCTACTCTTTGTCTTTTTGTCTCGCTCAGAGCCGCTGTGTCAACCAGATTGAGACGGTGTGTGTCCACATTGAAAAGACCATCAACCAGACCATTCAGAACACACTCAACGCACTGGAGAAAGACTGCGAGAACATCGCATTTCTGATTGGAGAGAAGCTAGAACTGGACAGGTGTGGGCAAATAATACATTAATAACAATTATAATAACAGGTGTTTAAGGGTCACAAGCTCTTCAGATAAACTATGTGGAAGACAGTCCTTTGTCATTGTCCTGAGACGCACCGTTGAAAATTTCTGTTAGTAGTTTTGTTTTTTATTCGGCGAAGTGCACGCAAGCGTTGACACGACGCACACGCGCGCAGCCTCTATAATTCATCGGATCAGTGCACGACATCGCGCAGCTGCAATCGGCTCAGTGAGAACGTGTCTCGGACGCTGAATTCAGACCCAATTCAAAACATGATTCAGCAACTTTTGATTTGAAATTGAGATCCTAGAATGCTGTTTTTCTCGGAATATACAGCTGAACCTGAGCTGAAACTTCATCATGTTAGTTGTTCAGTACCCTTCTTAAGATTTTGAGCGCTTTTGTTGCTTCAAACGAACAAAATGCACAAATTACAAATGATGGACTATATCTTTAATACCCCTGCATATTTGGCCGGGAAAAATATTCCATAAACCGTCTAGGCTCTCTGAGAAGTACACAGTTTGATGCTGCGTCGGGCAGATTTTTAGACCCAACATCCATCTGCACATTCTCGTCTCCACAGGTACCCATTTTACTCCTGGGTGGGGAGAAGCAATGAGTGTAAAATGTCTTGCCTGAGGACACACACACACCATAGTCCCCACAGGCTGGGCTCGGACCCAGAATTTGCAGAGTTACCCACCCGATTTTGATGGTGGGGAATTGAAACAATGCTGTTTTGGCTACTGATGTGCAGTATGGCATGCAAAGCTGCTTATTTAATAAATTAGTCTTTTACCACCCCAAACGGCCCTGCCTGTTACTCCCTGTGCCTTTCAAAGCCTACCCAGTACATGGTTGTGTGGATACATCACAGAATAAATGCAATGTAATGAAAATGCAATTCACTTGTGCTACTTATTTTTGTTGGTCTGGGCAGCTCAATGTCCCCCATGATGGATTAGGAGAATGATGATACTTATTTTTCACATCTTATTTTCACATTCTGCAGACCCGCGGAGTGAAGGCGCCATTCCACATGCATGTTTTCCGTTGCGTATATGTTGCGTTCACGATGCGTTTTGCGTGCATGATTTACCTTACCAGATACATGAAGTGTGCCCAATGAATTAGGTTAGCAACGTAGGAAAAAGAAAATGCACAAAGAATTCGGTTAGCAACAGAAATGGCAAGCCGTCAAAACCAAACGCGTCTATTGATTGCAGCTGCAGCTTATTAAAAGTAAAAGAATTCATTCCAATAAAAAAAATCTTCTAATTGCAGTTGATCCAACATTTTGATTACAACGCGGTAATGGTAGGGGGATATTGTGCTTGTGTATGCATCAAAATCGCTCATGGAGCGATTGAAACGGACGATCCGACTGCCAATCAGAACGGACACGTAACATATACGTACACATGAAAAAGGACATGAATTATATTATGAAGTCAAGTTTTGTGTCCATAAAAATAAAACACATGTGCGTAACAAACCAAAAACCCTGCATATGGAAAGGCGCCTTTAGGCATGTGTGTACAATATGTTCTTTCAATTGAGCTAATCATTTCATTTCCTTGTGTTTTCTTGCATCCTTAGGGTATCCAATTCTTACAATCTTCGGGCCCGAGGTAAGGGCTTCATCTTCTTCCTACTAGGCCTCCTCCTGCCAGCTGTGCTGCTCGTCAACTTCCTCGCCAGCAACGTCTCCAAGGACATCTTGGTTTCCACGCTGGGAGAGGGCGGAGCTGAGACGTTAAATCTCTACTTGGTAAATTGGTCTTTTAATGAGAGAGGGCCGTTGGTTTTTATGTTCCTGTTTTGAGTGGGCTCAAAATATTTTTGGGGGGCGGTCAAAATATAATCTGATGATATCCAAAATCTAAGGGGAAAGTAAGGAAGAGCTTAATAACTAAATGGCAACTAAAAGCCTGTGTACGCATTCGCGTGCCCATTGTCAATGGTCTGGTAATAAGCCACTAGAGCAACTAAGAAGTGTAGTCGTTTTTATGAATGAGAAATTTATCAAACCGCAGAATTGTGTATAAGAAATGTACAAAGAGGTTGGCTGCACACTATCTACAGCTGTATAAATGCATGTGTGGCGTGTTTTGTGTACCAAAGTACAAATGTTTAGAATGCTTTCATTGGCCCAAAATGTGTCCACAGAACCGATGATTCACTCTCAGTCTTCAACTTGTTATGAATCTTAACAGCGAAGTAATGAACATAACGAATCTATTTGTAGATAAGGTGTTGGTGGCAAACTCCCCCAAACTGGGGTAGTCGAGACCATCATAAGTCCAGTCACAAACAAATCGCAAGTCCATCACAAGTCCAGTCATAAGTCCAGTCATAAGTCCAGTCACAAGTCCAGTCACAAATAAATCGCAAGTCCAGTCACAAGTCCAGTCACAAGTCCAGTCAGGAGTCCAGTCACGAGTCCAGTCACAAGTCCATCACAAGTCCAGTCACAAGTAAATCACAAGTCCAGTCATAAGTCCAGTCACAAGTCCAGTCACGAGTCCAGTCACGAGTCCAGTCACGAGTCCAGTCACGAGTCCAGTCACAAGTCCAGTCACATGTCCAGTCACAAGTCCAGTCACAAGTCCAGTCACATGTCCTGTCACAAGTCCAGTCACAAGTCCAGTCACAAGTCCAGTCACATGTCCAGCCACAAGTCCAGTCACAAGTCCAGTCACATGTCCTGTCACAAGTCCATCACAAGTCCAGTCACAAGTCCATCACAAATCCAGTCACAAGTCCATCACAAGTCCAGTCACAAGTCCAGTCACATGTCCAGTCGCATGTCCAGTCGCATGTCCAGTCGCAAGTCCAGTGGCAAGTCCAGTCGCAAGTCCAGTCGCAAGTCCAGTCACAAGTCCAGTCACAAGTCCAGTCAGGAGTCCAGTCACGAGTCCAGTCACAAGTCCATCACAAGTCCAGTCACAAGTAAATCACAAGTCCAGTCATAAGTCCAGTCACAAGTCCAGTCACGAGTCCAGTCACGAGTCCAGTCACGAGTCCAGTCACGAGTCCAGTCACAAGTCCAGTCACATGTCCAGTCACAAGTCCAGTCACAAGTCCAGTCACATGTCCTGTCACAAGTCCAGTCACAAGTCCAGTCACAAGTCCAGTCACAAGTCCAGCCACAAGTCCAGTCACAAGTCCAGTCACATGTCCTGTCACAAGTCCATCACAAGTCCAGTCACAAGTCCATCACAAATCCAGTCACAAGTCCATCACAAGTCCAGTCACAAGTCCAGTCACATGTCCAGTCACATGTCCAGTCGCATGTCCAGTCGCAAGTCCAGTCGCAAGTCCAGTCGCAAGTCCAGTCGCAAGTCCAGTCACAAGTCCAGTCACAAGTAACAGTGGATGAACAGTAACAAAGGAATGCCTTTGTCCAAGCTCATGTGAATAGCTTGTGATTTGAATTTGAACTTGTGATGGGCTTTGAGGGACTTCGGATGGACTCAACTACATCCCTGCTGATGCCAATCCTCTCTTTATCTTTTCTCGAACAGCGTCCAGTCGGTTCCATGTGGGAATCTATACCTAGGGACTACCATCTCTACGCTCTTATTGGACTCATAGTGTTCTCCCTTCTCCTGCTTGTGCTGGCTAAATGGTCAACAAGGTTGGTATTTTGTCTCATTTTCAAAACAAAATTCTGTCAATTACAGATAGACTGTGATTTTGTAACACTTATTTATATCATCAATGCACAGGTCCACAGACACTGTAGCTCGGAAACAAAACAAACCTAAATGTCAGTTCGGGCTCGACACAAAAACAGGGGTGTGAAATCTCAGCTTTAAAGCTGATTTCAGCTGTTTTTGTTTTGGATTTCAGCTTTTTTCCCTCACTTGCTGTTTACAAAAGTATAGGAGATTTCCAAAGTTCAGTTTTTTTACACCTTTTTCAGCTGTTTTCAGCTATTTTTATCAGTGGTCACTCACACCCCTGACAAAAAGCAAATGCAAATTAGTGATGTCACAGCAATTCTTCGAGCTGCGATTTTCAAAAAAGTTAACACATTTGAACTCGGCCGAATCACAGCGAATGATTCCCGACCTCAAATTGGGATTTGCATGAAGTATGAACTGGCTTTTAAGAGGACATGAAATGTTCAGTTAAAGAAATGGGGCAAAAAAATAGGAATGACTTTCCCACAAAAAAAAAAAAATCGGGCCGGGGACTGAAAAATCCAATATACCTGTCTGGGAAGGACTCATAACTGATTCACAAATTTGAAATGCATGGAAAGAACCACTGTGTCAAGCTGACTCCCCTAAGATTTGTGCAATTGCTAATTGGCAAGAGAAATTGTTCGCCATGCAGCTTACCACTAGGAAACTTTTGTCACAGTTTGAAACCTGTTCTCAAATAAGCCAGCTCGGTATTCCAACTGCACATGTGCACATTAAGATTGGGCGGCTTTTTTTTTTCGATAAAAAATTAATCGTATGCGTGCAAAAGCATAGTGGGGTACCAGCAAAATTGAAGATATCATCGTGTTCTGAAGTGTAACATTGTGCAAAAACAAACTTTGGACAGCGAAGTGTTTTGAGTGTCTTGTGTGTCCAAACTTTTGTGCGAATGAAAGTTCCATCTCTTTTTGATTGCACCAAAAAAAAATGCACAGAATGCAGATTTGGTTACCACGTCCCCCATGGCCTTGTGTGCATTTATCTGCCTCGGTTTTCCCGAAAGAAAAAATGTCGAATCTAGCTGTGCACCAGACTATTTTGGAAAAACCGAACTGGCTTACTCCATCCGTTTCCCAATAATATACTGATGCAGAGATGCCACTTTTCCGGTTTTAACCGGAATTCCGGTTTTAAAAAAAAATCTCACAAAATTCCGGTTTTTCCGGCCGTCAAATTAACCAGAAAAAGAGAAGAAAAACTGTGGAAATGCGTTGATTTTTACCTCGATTTAGTACATTTAGGCGCACGCATGGCACAACGTTGTTCCTTGAAGTAGTCTTAAAAACAGTCTTTGTGTATGTTGTTGCCGAGCCTGCATGCGATACAAGCGGCCAACGTACTTAATTGCACGCGGTATATAACAGCGCGTCGTGCGTGCCTCACCGCGTGCGGGCGTGTTGTGTGCTAAGCACACGTAGCATTCAGCCTGGAAATCAACTCTATCATTTCAGCTATCGGTGGTTTCCGATCGCAGTGATATATGTGAAATACAAAAAAATGCGGGTACCAACCATGTTTTCGTTGAGCGCATTGCGTGCAAGGGATCATGTCACCGACAGCAGTGTTGTGGAATCATGCATGTTTCGTGTCAAATATTACGTTAGAAATTCGGGTAGGCAGAATAAATATTAGGAATATGGAAAAAGTCAAAGTGATTGAACAAACCGACAGCTTTATTAAAGGCCATAGAAGCAACATAAAAAAATAAACAGAACTTGGCTTGGCTACAAGATAAAGATGACAACGGGGACTTTGTGTCGACACGGAGTGGCTTTTTCACACACATACAAAAGTCCGTTTTTTTCAAGCAGCCGTTCTGGGTTTTTTTCAAGCAGACCCAGTTCCGTTTTTTTCAAGCAGACCCTGTGGCAAATTTGATTTCAGAGCATATTTTGTACCTCTGCCCGTATTTCAAATCGAACCTTTTTGGTCTCTTTGATAGTCCTGCGCCTCATGGTAGTTTGTAATGTAACCTTGTCTGGGAAGGTGATAACCTCTGAAATTTCTGCTCTCTTGATCACATTTGTTGGTGTTTTTGTTTTGTTTCTCATTGTCTCGTATTTTGTGGGCGGGGGAGGTTCTTATCAAATGACTAGATCGGTTATTAGTAGAATTGATTGGAAGTTTTACTATCGGAACGGTTGTCTGGAATAAAGGGCATTGGCATTTGTGGTCAGAAACCTTTGTGGATTTCAGTAAAAACGAACAAATATATTTGAACTACTTGAGTTTCTTAACTTCTAGGGTTCGATATTACCCAATCAAGTTGATGCGGTCGGGAGGCACGCTTGGAATTTCTTGGGTCAAAGTACCAAAGTTTCAAAAACTATTTTGTCGTGTCCATGCAACAAGGTCGTACATGTATCTCTTAAAATGGCGCGTGACGTCGGGTGCGTGAAATGCGAGTTTTCAACGTGGAAAGGTCGTATCTCGTTTAAAATAACCCGGATGTACACACAAAGTCAATGGAAGTTGCGATACCCGAGATACGACTTTGTTGCAGAATGGAGTTACGACCTTGTTGCACTGACGCCGACGATTTGATTCATCTTGTTGGAAGTGTCCTTTAACTCCTTGGCGGCCTGACGGCACTTGCTGGGGACCAGCTGCAAGTTCAGGATAAATAAAACAAATCCAGTCTTGGAATACGACTAGTAGAGTACAACCATTTCAGCATGTGATCACGAACTCCCAAATCAATGCAGGGAAAGAATGATGCCACTTTTTCTTCACATATCATCTCAATAAAGGCCAGTAATTGCAACAATGTTAAAAACATGTTAATCTGGGACTGAGAATCATTTCAAATTTTGTTAGGAAATACTTTAAAAAAATTCTTGACTCTCCATAGACTTTGTAAACAACCGCTGAAGTAGCGTCTGGATACTACATTCTTTCCCAATGCAGTCTGGACTTGTAGATGTCTCCTTCCCCCACAAGTCCACTTACTCATGTGTTCCGATTCCAATAATTTTTTTGTTTTTTTGACATTTACAAGCTTGTTTTCCTATTATCCATTGGTAGGCTGAAGCCGACATTGAATCGGAAACAGAAGCGAGTGCTGAATGAACAGAAGGACTTCGTCCAAAACCATGTCAGGGCAACTAAGGTAAGAAGCAGTGTGATTGTTAAGCTGAGATAACTTTTTAACCGACCAATCTTTGCTAGGATGTAACCTCTGCAAAATCCTTCGTTTACGTTATTTCTTGAATGTAGTCCTTGGAGGGGTGACCACTTGCCTCAATCCTTCTAAATTCTCTGGCAGTGACTGTCAACATGTTGAGGCAGAGCCAGTGACATCCTGGAGCAGTGCAGAGGATTTCAAGTAAAATATTTATGTAGACCTAAATTTGATTAACATCACAAGGTCGGGCCCAAGACCTTGACACAGTGCATCCTCCAAAATCAGCAACAGTTTTGCCATGTAGCCTCAATCCTGCAAAATCCTTTATTTTGCAAAAGGAATTTTGGAGGATTTTGGAAGGTTAGGGTTCAAGACCATAGGACATCACAAGTCAGCGTCATCAACTTTGAATGTTTTTATATTAGTTTTTTTTTTATCTTTGTCGCAGGAAAAGCTGTACTCCGAGTATCTACAGCAGAGTGTTGCTGCCCATGACCTCAATTGACCCCTTCTGATGACCTCTGACCTGACCCGGCCCAACCCAGTTCGGCAGGGCAGGAGCCTGCTGACAATCTGAAGAATTTATTGCTGGTTTATCTGATGGTAGAAAGTGTATCTCTATTTTGGATTAAAAAAATCTTTTGTATGAGACTATTTTTACTGGACGGCGTGCAGGTTACATGTTTTTTCATTGTTTTTTTTCCTAGGTTAGTTATCTTTTGCATTGAAAAATGATGAAATGTTTTGGTAGTTTGAACAATTTTAGTGATTCAGTTTAATTCAGGGTTTAAAAAGTTGAGTTGAGTATATTAATAGTTATATAAATTCCCTCCTCTCTCAGTGACAATCTGTAGGGAGCTGCCCTATATGTCAAAATCTATCAGGTGACAGGTTTTAACAGATCTGTAAACTGGTCTTATTTCGATACAATTCGGGAGATTTACAATGCAGTGCTTTGCCATGGAGAGTTCATTTTCCAAATTTACGGTCGACAAAACATGGCCCATTTGAATGAGTTTAATCCATAGGGGTGTCTGGTAGTTGATGACCAGCCTGTACAAAAGCTATTGAGAGAGGTAGGGTTAGGTTTTTTGACAGATTGTGATAGTATACAAATATGGAATGCTTCGAGTGGTGTAGTAAAACTAGCCTCCCGAAGTGATCCATGGACATTCCATTTTCCCGAGGCGAAGCCGGGGGAAAAAAGAATGCTCCATGGATCACCTCGGGAGGCTAGTTTTACTTTACAACGAGATAAAACATACAATATTTGTTTTATAACACTTCACCCACAGATTCTGCATGGTTTCAATATTTTAAATTATTTGAATCTGAACACGGTTAAAATTAACTTCAATTTCAATATTAAATTGGTGGGAATTGTATTCCTCTCTTCCAAACCACCCCTTCACGAAATGTTTGAACCTAACTCTTTGGCGCACTCTCCTTGGAACAATACACGCAACGCTCAACACGCACACCAGCATGCATTTGCACACAAATACCGCGCCATGGTATAGTACTTTGGTTGCTAATGGTATAGTACTTTGGTTGCTACGGGTATAGTACTTTTGGCAGTGCACAGAAAGATAGCAAAAATGGAAAGTACCATGTGACTTGCTCTCGACCAATCAACACACAGAATCTTTAGGTGAGGCGTTATAAGTATAAGAGGGTTACTGAATTACACTTGGAGGTAAAATTTTTCTTGCCAATTGCAATCAAATGTCTGCTGAAGTCATGATTTGTTTGAGTGTTCTTTTCTGTTAGAAGGTACCTTTATTTGGGACAACTGTTGTTATCTTTTATTGACATACCAATTAGCCAGGCATTCATTTGTACTTATTTCGTCATCTGTTTTCTGAAATTGCCATGTTATCTTCCAAAAAAAAAAAGTAAGAAGAAATGACAAGAAATACCTCACACAGTGCCAAAAAAAGACAGTACAGGGTACTTGTAAAATTGATACCCCATCGATATCTCTGTAATCAGCAAATGGAATGTACAATTTGTATTCTTAAGTTAAGATCCAACTTAAGAAAGTTGGATCCAAATCTAGGAGAGTGGTGTAGCTCTCAGCATGGAATTTTTGTATTAATTTTTTTAACAATTGGAGGGTTATTTTACGTTACAGTTGGGTGTAATACCATTAACCCTAACCCAACTCACTCCTCCGAAATCCTCCTGGCGGTTTTGGAGGATTCTAGAGGATTGAGGATGAATGGTGATTGAATCAAATGAGGATTCTGGAGGATTGAGGATGAATGGTGATTGAAGCACATGAGGATTTTGGAGGATTGAGGATGAATGGTGAATGAAGCACAAGAGGATTTTGGAGGATTGAGGATGAATGCATTTTGAGGCAGGACTGTCTGATGATTTTGAAGGATTTGGCGTTGGTTATCCTTCATTTAAACACAAGTGCAAAGTTTTGGGATGAGGAGGATTTTGGAGGATTGAGGATGAATGCATTTTGAGGCAGGACTGTCTGACAATTTTGAAAAATTTAGGCGGAGTTGAAAAATTTTGGAGGATTTTGGAGGATTGAGGATGGTTGTAAGCAACAAGGGCCTAGGGGGTTAGGGTTAACCCTAACTCCCTACCCTAGGGTGATTTACTAGGAACCTTCCTCATCCTTGCAAATCCCAACACCATATGGTAAACTGTGCACATAAACAGTTGGACTCGGTTTATTTGTGGTACGCCTAATCTCACGTAAAGCACAGTCAGTTTACTAGTGCAGTACTCATCCTGACAGATTTCAACAAACCCTGGTGATGGAGTTTGGCTGGTTGGGGATCGGTAGGGTTAAAGTTTGATAAGAGTGTGGACCATATGTACATGCCTTAGGCATGGAATGAAAAAGAGTGACTTATCCCTTAAATTGAACAACGCCTTTGATATATTACAGTCAATATTAAAGAGTAAATGAAAATAAATTGAGGCTTTTACATTTCATCTTCACATTCTTTTGTTGTAATTGTTTTTCCCGAATTTATATCATAATTTTTGTTCATTTTTGATTCGCAAATGAGTTCAGTTTTGTTCAGTTTTGTTTTGATGTATGTTCAATTTGAACGCAATAAAGTTTCTTGGTTGAGAAATAAAACACCACAAGTTTTTGTGCAAATCTTTGTCACCAGCAGAGGATAATGTCTCTTTGCGTATTTTAGTCGACGGGCCAGGACCCCAAATTCACCAATTGGTACCACCCGAGGCGGCAAAATCTAGCTGCTATTTTTTTAGTGCTGTACATCTCTCTAGCATATATTTGTATAATGATAGGCTTTTCAATGTGGTAGCTTATTATTGGTTATCGCCGCTTGAATGTCCAGACCCCTATTAACGTTATAATCCTATGGGTATGAGGGGGCGGGGCCACAACCCCCACGAAATGAAACTTATTGTAATTATACATGTACTCCTGAACGCTTTGGCTAATCTATAAACAAGTCGGTGATCTTTCTTAACTTCTAGCAGTATGGTACAAAAACAATTACATAGGATGCCCATTGTTACCATTACAACCAATTCAGTGTTTATAAAGCTGTGTTATTTAACAAGTTTTGTATAAAACAAAAATGAGGTTATGCCCAAATATTCAGGATAATTAGAGAAAAGCTTTATTTTCCTAGGTGAATTCCAATTAACTCGCAACGAAATACACACATGTAGCGTCTGATGAATACACAAGCATAAATTCATACTATTTTCTACAGTACAATGTATACAATGTATCACTCCGGCCCAACCTAATGAAGGACTGTTGGGAACAGCGAACTGAATAGAGGCCTCTTATTTGCAGTGTTAGCAAACAAATCAGTGGAAACAAAATATCATTTCCTTTTTAAAGACGTCTGTACAATGTTGAAATAGGGGAGGATTCCATACTGGGCCGCCACTCATATTCCTTTATATAACCTGAAAAGTACCAAAAATTGAAAATCTGATGAAGAAACACTATTTAAGGAGTGCAAACATTCTTTGATAATACTTTAAAATGTTCTTTCATGGCCCATGGACTTTGTGCAGGAGGTCTAGAGTGGTGGCCCAGTATGGAATTCTCCCCCCCCCCCTACAGTCCACAACAATCGGATATGAACAGCTCACGCTCCCGGATCCCCCCCCCCCCCCGCCAAAATCTCGGCATCCACCCCTGAACGCACCTGATGCCTTATTCCAAAGAACACCTACAGAATAATAGTTTTATTGTTCGTAACGATAATTACAAACAAGGCTAACGTATACAATTTTGCAAACAAATGAAAACAGTTAGCTCATTATTGAGCGAAACAGATGTAGTCATGTACACAGCAATGTTCCATGTTTGTCCGACTATTTAAGACAAATGGTTTTGAGAAGAACTCTAAGGAGGCCGAATGGCCTAGTGGTACGATTCATCGTCCATGAATCGCGGAGCCCGGGTTCGAATCCCGTCGGTGTCTTTTTGCTGTTCAACGCGCGCATTCAGTCATTATAAGATGTTTAATTTCCCGTCGTAAATCACCAACTGTACCTTAGCTTAATCGGTAAGCACTGCGGCTGGTACTGTCCGCGAGTTCCAGGTTGGCGCCTTCGTACAGGTTCAGGGCATGTGGTCCACTCGGGGGATCAGGGCTTAGGGGCCGCCCTGTTCCTCCCTTAGCTCTTTGCTTTTACATGGTGCCTGGCCCTCCGGGGTTACATGGATGGACAGGGAAGGAAGTGTGTATTGGTCGGGGACGCCGAGACCCCGGAAGAGAACTAAGGGATTGGCTGGGGCATTGTTATGGCTCAGACCGATCCCTGAAAGCTTGGCCAGCACATAACTTTTTGATTTTTTTTTAATCCTCTTTTTTTTTTAATGTAATTTGGTTAAGTTTCGAAATTGACATCTGCTCGGCAGGTCTACGGTAGTATTAAAAACGAAACAAAGGTCTCTGTCATCAATCAATGAATATTTAATATTATTGAGAAATAGAATCATATTTTGACTGAAATTTACCAAAGTTTTCAGCGTATGGTTTCTTTTCTTTGACACATCTGTCTAAAAATAAATTTGAAATGTTTAGGGCCCTGTAGGCATCTTCCTTGCAACCTTCATACAATTTGATTTTTTGGGCCAAAATTGAAATAATTGCAAGGAGTTAGCCTTGAATTTTGCTCAAATTCGGCACTAATTTGCAAGAGGAACATCAATCAATACTCAAACATCTATAGGATTGAAGATTCTGGCAAAAATCATAGATTTATTGAGAAATAACATCATATTTTGGACTGAAATTTACATAATTTTCGGTTCACGTTTTCTGTTGAATTGCACAGCTGTCCCGAAATCGGCTGGGACTGTATTTTAGGGGCCTTTGTGCATGTTTCCTGCAACTTTCACACAATTCTTTTTTTTCCTCCAAAATTCAAAATATTGCAAGGGATTAGCCTTGAATTTTTGGATTTTCTCCAAATGTGCACAAATTCCTTAGGATGCAAGAGGAACATCAATCAATACTCAAACAACTATGGGATTTAAGATTCGGAAAAATCATCGATATATTGAGAAATAAAATCATATTTTTTGACTGAAATTTACCCAAACTTTCAGCGTATATATGGTTTCTTTTCAATGGCATATCTGTCCCCAAATCGATTGGAAATGCGTTTTAGGGCCCTGTACGCATGTTTCCTGGAACTTTCACAAAATCTCATTTTTTGGCCAAAATTGAAAATATTGCAATAGGTTAGCCTTGTTTCTGGACAGATTGGGCATTTAAAAGAAAGAGTGGGTCGATAATTTGGGTCGAAATTAGTGACAATTATTTATTTTTGTCTCAATAAGTCGGTGATTTTCGCCAAAATCTTCAATATGTTTAGTGTTTGAAGGTCGATTGATGTTCCTCTTGCATCCAAAGACATTTCTGAGTTTTTTGGAGAAAAGTCAATTTTTGGCCAAATTTGATCAAAAAGTAAGGCTAACCCCTTGCAATTTTTTCAATTTGGCCAAAAAATGAAAGTGCTTGAAACTTGCAGGGAAGATGTCTGAGGGTCCCGAGAGCACATTCGAACTGGAATTTTGGACAGATTGGGCGTTTTAAAGAAAATTAGCGTCGATAATTTTGGTC